ATGCTTAAGGCCATGAAGAAAGAAACTTTGTGGGAATCTAAAAGAAGTAGAAGATGACCAGTTTCACTGTGGCAGAGAGAATGCAAGGGAGAGTGGTGGCCTGTGAGCTGGGGATAAAGACAATAGCAGACTGTGGCTGGCATTATATACTGGGTCAAATGTCTACATAATAAATATTTATCATATGCTTGCTATACACCAGATAACTGAGCATTTAAGAATATTTAAGGCATGCTTTCTTGCCCTCCAGGAACTCACTGCTTCTGTGGAGACTGACAGGTAAACTGTAGTGGGATAAGAGCCAAACCAGATATATGTTCAAGTAGTTCAGAGAAAGATTAACCTTTTCTGGGAGTTTGATAAAAGCTTTCTAGAGAAAGTAATGCCTGAGCAGGGATTTGAAACGTGAATCTGAGTTCCCAAGCTAACAATGGCCTATCAGGATATGCAAAATACAGGGACATGAAAACAATCATGACTTTTCCACAAAAGCCCTACTTTAATAGCCCAAAGAAGAAAGTGTTCTTGTGGGGTGCGTGGGTGGCTCAATCCTTAAGTGTCTGCCTTAGGCTCAGGTCAGGATCCCAGGATCCTGGGATCGAGCCCCGCCTCGGGCTCCCTGCTCAGTGGGAAGCCTGCTTCTCCCTCTCCCACTCCCCCTGCTTGTGTTCCCTCTCTCGCTGTCTCTCTCTCTCTGTCAAATAAATAAATAAAAGCTTAAAAAAGAAAGTGTTCTCGTGTTCTTCGGAATTCAGGGCCCCTTCACCCATAATGGAGCTAGTCTACCAGATGATAAGGTACTTGGCAAAAAAAGCTTCATTCTTCTTTTTTTTTTTTCTAATCAACAAGGGAACTTATCACAGTACTTTGCTTATAGAAGGCACTCAATAGGTGTAAATATATATTTGTAAAATAAAATAAACTATTTACTGAATTAAAATTAACTAAAGGATCCCTAGGTACAGAAGGAATAAGAGAGGAAATATACTTTAATATATTTTTCAGGAGCTGGGAAGGAGACTGCCCAAGAAGTCAGGGCTGGAGAGTGAAATCCCTATAACTCTAAAAGTTCAAATGGTAGAAGGGCTCCAAATTGAGGTGCCTGGGCCTCCACTGTAGAAGAAGCAATAAAAATGGGTAAAAATGACACAAGGCAAGAAGTACCCACCATTCAAAATGTGTAAAATTGAAAAAAACTTATTATTTAAAAAAACAGTCTATCTACAAACACTGAGATAATCAAGGGTTTGGCAGAGCTGATATGATTTCAGGCAAAGAACAAAGAATTTCATAGTTCATCTCTTCTTCTCCTTCCCCTATCCAAGCCTTGAGGGATTTTTAAAAAAAAGATTTTATTTATTTATTTGAGAGAGAGAGTGAGTGAGAGAACGAGCACATGAGTGAGGGGAGGGGCAGAGGGAGAAGCAGACTCCCCGCTGAGCAGGGAGCCCGATGTGGGGCTCCATCCCAGGACCCTGGGATCATGACCTCTGCACTAAAGGCAGACGCTTAACCGACTGAGCCACCCCGGCACCCCAAGCCTTGAGTTTTAAGAAACCATTTAAATTAACTTCAAAATGTTCTTGCAGACATTACTAAACTCTGTCCATACCAATGAATTCCAATGACATCACTGTTTCCATGGTAACTAATGCACTTAAAAGGGGAAAAAACAGAAAGCAAGACTAAAAACCAGGAAAAAAAATGAAGTGGTATAAACAAAGCATAATATTACTCCTTTGCATTTATGGAACACTTTCTAATTTCAAATGCTTTGCCATTACTTAGACTCCAAGGTTCTTAAATGCCAGAAAGATCTCAGAAGTCATCAAATCCACATCCCACTCATAGCCAGGATTCTCTTTACAATGTAGCTGCACCATGGTTGTCCAACTGTTTACAGAGCTCACAGCTGGAAAGTTCTCTCATTCACTTGCAAAGATTACTGAGCACCTATCTTGTTCTGCAGGTTTAAGAGATGATAAGATATTCTACCTTCTTTTAAATTTTTTGCTGTTTAGAGAGCAAATAATTGAAACATAGGGGTGAAAAAAAGAGGGTTATAATAAAGATATAGGACAATGACAAAGAGCCAACTTGGAAGAATTATACATTTCCAATGACTTTTACTTCTATTCCACTTCAGCCCCACACACCCATGACCATCCACAACCTGAGCCTTGTCATGACCCAGAACCATTCCAACTCTGCCAACTTAAACTCCAACATTAACTTTCTGATCACAAACAGGTCTTTCATTCCCTAATTAATACTGCACTAGTCCTCTGAGCTTTATGCAGCCCAAGATCCTTCACTTGAAATATTTCCTCACTGTATTTCCTTGCTGATATCTTCAACTTTTATTTTCAGTGACACCCACTTAGCAATAGCCTAACCTGGACTTAGTGACCATCCGTCTTCCCCATTGTTAAGTTCCATAGGAGTCTCTGTCCCACCCTTTGTCCCTTTATCCTTGAGTGTAGAGAAAAATCTGTCAGAACAATCATGAGATTGTTTGCCTTTTTACTTATAGGGCAGCAAGTATCAGGTGCTGCAGGTAAGTGAAAATAACCTAAAGACTAAAAGGTACATATGCTGAATTTGCCAACTATGGTCATTAGACCCCCAACCAGTAAAGTGCATGTAAAACCCACCCCATAGTCATAGTCACATCAAGTGACAGCACTGGTTGAAATAGTCTCTTGGTGTACAAAATGATAATTTACAGAATGGGGAATAAAAAGTGCTGGTTTCTGCTTTTTAAAAAACTTTTCCCTCAAAAATCTCATGATACTTTTAAGTAAACTGGACATATGCCTCTACCCTCATCTTACAGAATGAGAAATCAAGCATTCACTGATATGCTGATAGGATGACTATTAACCTTAAAGTGGAAATAACAGACAATTGGCCCTGTTACCTAATTTCTGCTAGACAGAAGGATTATGTATTACTTGCTCTCTTAAGTTTTGGTAGATAGCCCTCTCTCTAACTTTTTGTGGACTTATATCTTAAAATCCAATATAAGTATTCTTATTTAGTGATTTGGGTATGTATTACTCGTACCTAGTTTATCTTGGAGGACATAATAGGAAGTCACATTGCTCAAACTATATGTTTATTGAGACATTTTTTTGAGGTGTGCATTTGGTTACCATTGCTTTAAAAATTTTCCAAGCTAAAATTCACAACAGAGAATACCATGGGGGTTTTATCACTCATTTATCCAAATATAAAGACTGGCCTTAAACACTTTCTGATCGTGGGAATGCCCTCAGATCATCCTTATCAGGCTCCCCAATTTTTTTTTAAATAATTTTTATTTATTTATTTGACAGAGAGAGAGAGAGCACAAGCAGGTGGAGCAGCAGGTAGAGGGAGAAGGAGAAGCAGGCTCCCCACTGACCAAAGAGCCAGACATGGAGCTCAATTCCAGGACCCTGAGAACATGACCTGAGCTGAAGGCACTTGCCCAACCAACTGAGCCACCCAGGTGCCCCTAGACTCCTCAATTTTCCTAAGACAATGTGGATCCAGTGCAGAGCTCCACAGCTTGTTAATGCACTAACTGGCAAGGGAGAAGAGGTACCTGTCAAAGAGGATCATCTCAACTCCACTACTCTACTATTTTATACTTTTCAGATGCTGCCCTGAGAGAAAAACATTTATGAGAGTCCATTCATGCTAGTACATCACTGGATCTTATACCGTGTCAGTTTCATTGAAGAATTCAATGAAAGTTATGAATTCTCTCCATACCAAAACAAACTCAAAGTGAATATATCATTTGGGGGTGGGGGAAGGGAGGAGGGGGAAAGAATCATGAGACCGCTGAAGCTAATTCATGGGCTGAAGTCTAAAAAACTCTGCTCTAGGGCGCCTGGGTGGCTCAGTTGGTTAAGCGACTGCCTTCGGCTCAGGTCATGATCCTGGAGTCCCGGGATCGAGTCCCGCATCGGGCTCCCTGCTCAACAGGGAGTCTGCTTCTCCCTCTGACCCTCTTCCCTCTCGTGCTCTCTGTCTCTCATTCTCTCTCTCAAATAAATAAATAAAATCTAAAAATAAAAAAAAAATTAAAAAACTCTGCTCTATAAGCTCTAAAATCTATACCTGAATTAAGCAAGGCTACTAGATAGTCATATAGATGGAGGCATCACATTGGCTTTGTACAAAAATGCTTGTTCTAAACTGTACTCTGGCATAAGTCCACTTGCTTTTGCTGATGCACACTAGGAGGAAGAAACCTCTATTTAAGGTTAAAAAAAAAAAAAAGGTAATGAGAGTGTGTGCATCATATAAAGGGTTACTTTATTCTTAGGACCTAGGGGAAATTTATGCCTCTATGGTCTCAGCTCTCCTTCTCTTGAACATTACGCTCTTTCTAACCTCATGGAAATGGGACAGTTTTATAAAGGCCCTATGTGGTCGCTAGAAAACTCATGGATTACTTTTGGCATGTATTTAAGTCCCTCAATGGCATGCAGTTTGTTTACGGATTCACTTCTGATTCTGATTTTAATTGTCCTTTGTCTTAATATTATTACATTTTTATTTTGTCAAATTGTATAGAAAATCCTTAGATACTTTTTAGAAGACAGTGAGCTATGAATGAGTTAAATTGGAGACAGAAGGAAAAAAGTCACCGTTTTCCCCTGTCTTCCCACGAGTGCCTCTACCTAAACACTCATGTGGGGGGTTTTTCGTCGGTAATATCTGCCAGTATTTGGAAAGGTAGTAGTTGGTCACAAAACTCATACCTCAAGGATGTTTTAGAATTCTTTTAAAAATATTTTAATGCAATTAGAATTTTTCTTGATTAATATAATGTATATACATGTTTGCACCTATATGCATGTTGTTAAAGTAACCATAAAAATGAAGTAGGGTTTTCATACAGATTTCTGCACAGAACTAAATTAAAATTTGGACTGTATTTCTCAATGACTTGCTTCCTCAGTTAGAGTGTTCCATATTGTAAAAATGAAGCTGAAAATGCTTACAGGCACATGGACTTTTCGAAACATCTCAGCACCCTTGCGAGCATCCATCAGCGCAATGTCCTGGGGTGTGGAGACAATCACAGCACCTAACCAATAGAAAACAAAACAAAGAGAAAGTAAAATGATGATTTAATTCTTTACGGAAAGATTACTTCCACAATTACATTGCTTACATGCTAAAGGAGTGTACAACATTAACTATTTAGGTAATTTGTATAAATTTTAGATACATGAATGGGAAAGATAAGGAAATGTCTACCTCACTCTTGCCTATTTTTGACTTCTCACTTCTAAAATAACAACTGACCGGGCGCCTGGGTGGCTCAGATGGTTAAGCGTCTGCCTTCGGCTCAGGTCATGATCCCAGGGTCCTGGGATCGAGTCCCGCATCAGGCTCCCTGCTCCTTGGGAGCCTGCTTCTCCCTCTGCCTGTCTCTCTCTCTCTCTCTCTCTCTGTCTCTCATGAATAAATAAAGTTAAAAAAAAACAAAATAAAATAAAATAAAATAAAATAAAATAAAATAACAACTGACCGACCAATGATTCAAGATCACAGCTATGTCACAGCTATGGGACTGTCTTCCCATTCAGGCAATGTGCTAGTTAGAAGATGCACAAGACAGGCCCTACTTTCAAAAAGCTAATAATCTACTTGGAAAATCCAAAAAAATTAAGGATTACAACACAACATGCTAAGCAGTGTAACAGAAGTATACCTCCTCAATACTATGGAGTTAAAAAGGAGAAATAAAGGAAGATAACTAATTCATTCTAGGGATCAGAATGGCAAAGGTGATAATGGATGGGGTGAAAAGGTAGGAGGAGATAAGGAGAAGCAATAGAGAAAAGGTTTCAGAAGGAAGCGATTCCTGAGCTGAGTCCTAAAAGTTTGTATTAAAGAAACTCACTAGTGTAGAATGTACTGTAGAGAATAGTTGGGTGGGGGTAAAACTAGAAGCTGTGGTAGAAATTGAGAAACAGTGGTGGCCTAAATGAAGGCAGCACCAAAAGTAGGTGCTTTCCTAGGTTTCCACTATGACCCTGCAGAAACCAGATGGTTCTATGACATAGTGCATAGAGAGAAAGAGCAGTGTAAACTTTTAAGTGGAAATACCAGAAGGCTGGTTATGATTTGCAGTTTGTGATTTCTTAAATTTTGTGGGTTCTTCTAGATGATAACCTGAAAAATAATTAACATAAACATATTCTACATGACCTGGATAGCCATCATATTTAACTAAATACACAATGACATGACATTTCAGAACTCCAAACCATCAAAGTGGCACCAACTGGTAGTACTTCATCATAACTAATGAAAACAGAGGTAGGATCACAATAAATAATGGACTATACCAAATGAAGAACAAATGATACTACAAAGTATTGTCCGAAGGGACATTTTGAAGAAGTCAAAATAAAGACAAGCGGCAGGGAAACCAAGTTGGCACAAAGCACATGGCAATACAGGCTTGCCAAACTCAAAAGAACGTGTCTTATAGCAGTTAGCTACAAATTCCTCTTGCAATCAGTATTTTCATTTCAGCCAAAAAAACACTCCATCTTTCATATTAAAATAATATCATTAATTTGAATTTTATTAATTTTTTAAAGTTTTGCTTTTTTTTTTACTCTGTAATATTTTTTAGTTTTTAAAAAATTATGTAAGAGCTATAAGCTTAAGGAATTTATATTTACACCTAGTTAAGTAGTCTTATAATAAAAATAAGTCAATATGGGGTATGGGGCACATTATTTTGCCTTCAGAAGGAGGGTCTATTCATTACTCAAGTTTGAGAAACACTAGCTTTGGAATTTCAACAGAATCAGAATTCAAATTTTTATTCCATAGCCAACTTCTTGTGTCACTAGGGTAATAACTTAATCTCTCTGAGATTGGTGTTACTATGCCATTTTGTAGACGAGGAAACTAAATTTCAGAGAAATAATTAAATGAAACTAATGTACCTAAGATGCCTGACATGATGCCTAGATACAGGGTAAACATTCAGTAAAAGAAAGCTGATGTTGTTGTTGCTCATATTATCACCATTGTTATCTTTATTACTGTTATTAATAAAATGTCTTAGAAGTTGCTGGGAAGGTCATTTTTATATGTGCCATCAGGCAGCTCATCCTACTTTTCAAACTGTTCCATGGGTCACTACATCCTTCTATTTTTATTTGCTCTGCCCAAGGAACCAAACACTAGTAGACTGTTCTCCTTCCTGTCTCTCAAAGATTGATGGAAATCACATCTCTGTAAAAATTATACTCAACTCTACTCCACAGATCCAATATACATCCATAATTTGCCACCTTCTAGGTTCTGTTATCAATCTATTTCACTGTTTTTTCATATCCAGGCATCTGGAAGGAATCTGATTCCAGTTCTGCCTCCATCTAGCTGTATGACTGACCTTTGGCAAGTAACTCAGAATCACTCTAGGTCTCAGTTTCCTTAGCTATAAAATTAATGCAAGGACTAGATAGTCTCCAAGGTCTCAGCTAGCTCTGATTACATGCTTTAGCACTGCCTCTGAACTGTAGTTTCCAAAACCACTCCTGTTCATCCTGACTGCTCAGTAAACCTATTTAAATGAATGTGAAATGCTACCCTACTCCAAGAATATGGCCCCTCAATCTCAGAGCCACTCTCTTCACATAAATAAAACCTCCTTGGCTATTTCCAACAAATTCTCTCTTAATTATATGCCAGTACACAGGGGGTTTTCTATTGCATTAGCCCTAAAAAGTACTTTTAGCTTTCACAGGATACACTCATTTTATTATTTTAAATAGCCTTTGTCTACTATTTGTATTACCACTATACAATACAATTTCATGGGCAGTTATGGTTTTTCTCATTGTTTAATCAAGCAAAACTGATACAATGCCATGTACAAAATAGGCACTTAACAAATAATAAGTGATTTAAACAATTTTCCTGTACTTTCAAATCATCTATCCTGGACTACTGCTGCATGAACTCTTGGTAACTCCCTGAACTAGGAGTTAAGAGCTCTGGATTCTGGCTGTGTTTACTATGTCTTTGTAACTATATAACCTTGAATAGCTCAGTAATTTCAATACATCTCAATGAACTCTTCTGTAAAGTCCACCTAGTTCCATTGCTCCTATTTAACTTAGATGTTCCATTAAAGAAAAAGAATGTAAAAGTGTTACAGAAATATTTGGTGACATTATTTTGATAGCTATAAGATCCTAGAGAGAGGGATTGAAGTGCCTTGGTTTCTCTGTACTTAACCCTAACTAACACAGTATCACAAGTAAGCATCCACACCATCTGAGTTTCTTTGTAATCTAAATAGTGCCATTCATACATCTATTAATAACAACTTTTTGACAAGGACAATGATCACCTTCTATGTCCCATCAAATGTTTACCAAATGTAAACATTCCATTAGAACTACCAGCCACATTTATAAAAGATTTTTTTGGGGTGCCTGGGTGCCTCAGTTGGTTAGGTGTTGCCTTCAGCTCAGGTCATGATCCCAGCATCCTGAGAGCAAGTCCCACATTGGACTCCCTGCTCTGCAGGGAGCCTGCTTCTCCCTCTCCCTCTGCCCACCCCTCCTCATGCTCACATGTGGGTGCTCTCTTTCTCACTCTCAAATAAATAAATAAAATCTTTTTTAAAAAAAGATTTTTTCATGTAAGAGCTCTTTTGCTGAAGTACATGTTCTTAAATAATTAAGTTCTTAATCACAATGTAATCAGTCTTTAGGACTATTCTCAGAAAAAAATTCAAGCCTTCTTTGAAGAATACAAAAACATAACTGGCCCACACATAAATCACTAACTACTTCTTTTGTTGTACCAAATTTTATTTTATTTTATTTTAATAATTTATTTATTTGTCAGAGAGAGAGAGAGAGAGAGAGAACACAAGCAGGGGGAGTGGGAGAGGGAGAAGCAGGCTTCCCGCCTAGCAGGGAGCCTGATGCAGGACTCGATCCCACGACCCTGACTGAGATCATGACCTGAGCCGAAGGCAGACGCTTAACCGACTGACCAAATTTTAATAAATCATGTAAGTTACCATTTCAAACAGCCCTACAATGACCTTTAGAATGTATAAAGAAATAAAGCAAACAAAAAACAAATAAAACCTCCATTAAAATTAATCATTATTAATCAATCTGTGCATCACAATCCAGATTTTTTCTTAAGATTTTTGTTTATTTATTTGACAGGGAGAGACACAGCGAGAGAGGGAACACAAGCAGAGGGAGTGGCAGAAGGAGAAGCAGGCTTCCTGCTGAGCAGGGAGCCTGAGGAGGGGCTCGATCCCAGGACCCCGGGACCATGACCTGAGCCGAAGGCAGATGCTTAACGACTGAGCCACCCAGGTGCCCCCACAATCTAGATTTTTAAATTTTAAATAAATTATATCAATTTTTTTCTTGTTACTGTATCTCTTTTCTTAAAATATGGTCTCTAAATCTGCTGTTACATTTTATCTTTATGATTCTTGGCTATCTACCTAATAAATTTTCATTTTTATCAGGGCATGAACCAATATGAACTAGCCCAAATTCTTCCTCTTTAATACCATCACTGATGATGTCACTTAAGTTTTCTCATGGAGGGTTAGTTCGGAAACTTGTGCTCCCTCTACTGACCACAGGAAATGTTAGTAGCAACAAAGAGAATGTTCAGTTTGCAATAAATGGAAGTATTTTCTGGGGGCAAAACATAGTATCATAAAACACCTATCTCAAGAATTCCAGGGAGAATTCTCTATCCGTTTTCTAGAGTAAATGTCTAAGTCCAAACAATTAAATAATATTTTTAAATGTTATTTTCCAAGTTGTAATCTTTTTAAAAGGTTTTTATCAACTGAGATTTACTATAAAAAAGATTATGTAGCAGATTCTGGCAAATATGTAAACATCCTAAACAATAATTATTTTTTTTAAAGATTTTATTTATTTATTTGACAGAGACAGCGAGAGAGGGAACACAAGCAGGGAGAGGGAGAAGCAGGCTTCCCACTGAGCAGGGAGCCAGATGCGGGGCTCGATCCCAGGACCTTGGGATCATGACCTGAGCCAAAGGCAG